GACAAGATTACGTCCAAAACACGTCAGGCATTGTTTCTGATAGCAACTCTCTGTGGGTCCGCTGCCGATTTGACGTCAGATCGGCAGCAAATCGGTATCCGCTCGTTGTACACCCGTTTCTAAAAGATTTGGGTACGGAGGAAAAGAGAGAGGGTTTTATTTTCTGACGCTGCGTGAGTTCCCCGACGCACCGGGGACACATATTTATGTATAAAAGACATCACAAAGTGCATTTTGCATGATAGGTCCCCTTTAAACACAACATGAATGCAGCATATGTTTGGATATCTGTCCTGTGTTACGGATCTGCTCAGAAAGTGAATCATACAAACCATGCCGAAAACATAACCACTTGGGCGAAGGAAATATAAATATATGCCTTTCCAAATTTCCTTGAATACATTTAATATTTTATGATGAATCAAAGTGAATCAACCCCTTGAAGGAGATTATACACAAAACATTTAAGTCGCATGGTCGTAACTGAGATGTAGTGCAAAGCTGTTATTTGTAAAGGCTAGTCAAGTCTAATCTACATGTGTGTGTTTTAGTTCAATTGAAATGGTCAATATACAATGAGAGAAAGATTCTCACTGAACATTGTGTGTCACTTTGAACTAGATCAAGGGCTTCTGGTGTTTCCTCCGAGCTAAAGTACACCTGCTGACACTCTGGCAGACAGATCGTACTAAAGATTATTTATTCCTCTCTAAGAAACATCTTAGAAAAGAGGATGCTCCTGAGAACATCATCTGCCTTGGCAGCTTTAATGTTTGGAAACAGTAAGTAAACAGCGTGGGGATAAGGCGCCTGTACCCCCCCGGGGTCTTCGGGTACAGTAGCACACAGCTGAGTTCTACGGAGAAACCTCTGTCTGTGTCCTGACTCAGAGGGCGTTGGGGGATGGGAGGTCACATGCGCAGTGCTGCAGGCTTCAGTTTGTCTACACACTCTTTGTGTTGATCTTTTTCTCTGAACTGAGTTTATATGCAAGACTCAGACAAACACCAGGCTTTCAGATCACAGGGGTGCCCCTTATTTCCGCCTTTAGTTAGGGATAAGATCACATTTCTCACCCTGTGCAAAAGAAAACATGAGCAGCAGAGAAGAAGTTGAGGGTAAATCCATCACTTTATTTGCTGAATAGTTTACCGCCTGTGATAATACTAAATTGTATCAAACTGAGAAAGTAGGTTATGAGAACAATGTCTCCATTTGTATCTAAATCTTAAATGTTTCGGATGTTTTGCTTGTGACTATCAGTGGTACGGATAATGCCCACACTGGAGACACTTTTACTGTTTTGGGACATTCAAGTCTATCTTTCCATCAGAACTGCAAGGTAACAATTGTTGTTCTCTTTGAGTTTTAATCAATAAGTCTAATCATGGTAAAAAAAAAATCCCATCATGGTTTTCTTAAGCTCAATGTGACATCCTCGTATGTCTAAGTCTTATTTCAAACAACCCAAATACAAAGATATTTGTATTAACAATGATATAAACACACAATCCAATGATGTTTGGACTCACCAAAATAGTTAGAGATTAAATATTGTATCAAAAAGTCTCTACCTGTATGCTTTAAAAGTGTATAAATAATAAATCACTAAATACAATACATCAAGTGTTTGGAACATTCTTAACACATGGATAAAATGGTCATTATATGGAGTGATTTAAGATGCTGGGAGGAGCGTTTTTGGATGCTAATCACCATTTATTTGCCATTACCCTCAACACTTTGTAACATAATCTGACTGTAGGAGTAGGCGACATACTTTTCCACCTTTCAAGCCTTCCAAATATTCATTTAAATAGAAGCATCAGAGTAACATATAGAGGGCATGTCATGTCTGACACACAAACAGCTAATGGTTGCCTCTGCCTTTCCACTGCTCTGCTACGAAATGGCCTGATGAAACGTAGAAAGAGAAGACAAGGGACAGTGGGAAGGCATATCAGGGAAGAGATGGGGGCACTGTCGGATTGTTATGCATGTGAGGCGGGGGGGGGGGGGGGGGGGGGGGGGGGGGGGATGCGGTGTTGCCTGGAAGCGCGCGGAGACGGCGAATGTCACTCCGATCAGTCGGAAGTGTCACGACGGGTAGCGGAGCCGTGACCTCTGATGGGGAGAGGGGAGAAACAGAGGGAGAGGAGGGAGACACGGGGCAGAGGGCAACACAACAGAAAAGGCAGTGACAGCAGGAACAGAGAGGGGAACAAGAGGGAGGGAAGTTTGTGGAGGGGCCAACGCCTAATCCTGCCAGCGCTCAGGGCTTCAGGAACAGAGGAGTGATATCAGTAAAGACACATTCACAGGCGGACTATCCTCTAAATGAGGCCACTTCTGTCTGCTGCCTCGCCTCTCACTCACAACCTCCCCTGCAATCACAGTGGAGAAACACCTAGAAGCTATCTGCTGTCCTGTTTAAGAATCCCACCACTCCATTACATGTTGGACCAACACTGCTGGTCCCCTACAAACAGGTATCAAGAGCGAGAAACCCGAGCGAAAAGGTGATGGCCTCTTCTCTGTAAAAAGCTCTTTCTTATTGTTCAGGAGTGAAGCTTTTATCTGCTGCATATTAAACAGAAGCCAAGGCAAGTGTATTTATATAGCACATTTCAACACAAGGCAAGTGAAAGTGCACACAAAATACGTTACAAGCATTACGATTTAATGCCTTATAATAAAGTGCCAATTCAGTGCATTCAAAAACAGATAAAAAGCCAAGAGAACACAAAGAATGCAAAGTTAAACAAGCTTGAATGGAATAAAATGGCTATAAAATACAAAAGTAAAAGTTACAGTGCAGTGTAAGTTGGATTTGATTTAATACATCGCAGCGGCTAAAAGTCTTCAGCCTGGATTTAAAGCGACCTGCAGTCTTCTGGAAGTTTGTTCCAGATATATGGAGCACAATAACTAACTAAACGCTGCATCTACAGAAACACAACAGAGCCATTTTCCCCCCTCGTTTAATGCCTCTGTGTAATTACCAAGGTCTGACAAACCTCTTCATAAACGATTAGAGTAATGTTGATATCAATAAGACGCCATCGCATTAATGAATTCATGGTTTGTGCTAGAGCGACGTCAGGAGGATCCCTATCGCCGGAGTGACATCTAATTTAAACCGGGTGTCAGGAAAAGCACCAGAACAATATGTCAGTTCTGTCATTACGCAATGACAACCAATACATCAACACTGCGCCACCACGGAGTTGTACTGCCCGTGGATATCAATGAAATTGTATGATAATGAAATATTATTTCACTTGAGCAGCCCTGGATGCTTTCTCTGGAAGCAGTGGGAATGTTTGGATAGGAGAGTGCGATATTGTGACAAAAAAAAGCAAAGACAATAATTAAAATGTGAGAGATGAGGGTGGGAGAGGTTTTTTTTCTCTCTGTGGTATTCTGGGTTTAATCTTTGAACAGCATTGAGTAGTTTTCCTTTTTCTGACATGTACTGTATATTATGAGCACTGTGTAACTTCTGAGGAGGGTAAAGGCCCGGAGGCTAAAGTGTGAGCTGCAAAACCACAAAATCCTGAGCTTAGACCTGCAGTCTGAGACGAATCCGAGATGAAGCAAAAGCAGTCTCTAGTGACGGCATATTTTTTACATCTTGAACCCCAGAGTGCCAACGATCCGGTTTGTCAGAATGAGTAAATGGCTTGATTCAAATTGTTCAAGGAGCCAAAGAGTTAGAAAAAAAAACACAGCTAAAAATAGTTTTCCAGCTGGATTAATGCAAAATAGGAAGTATCATTTTAACAAACCTCTTTTAGGCACTAATGTGAGATCAAACCAACACTAATACAGACACAGTGTGTGCCTCGCCTCTCTGGAAGCAGGCGGATTACTGTGCCATGGAACAAAGTCCTCCTCTCCCCGCCAACACTAGCAAACCTCCAGAGTCTTCTGGAAACAGAGTGTGGAGAGCTTGTGACTAGAATTACTGACACACTTTTAGAAAGTGCTAATCTCCCCTTGGGTTTTTTTTTCTCCACATTTTGCTACAAAGATGAACAAGCCACAACCAAAGCTCACTATTTCGGTTATGTTTCACTGACTTGACAGCAAGCCAGCAGTGTCACACAACCAACACGGCTGAATGCACACCCAATGAGAATTGTGCCTGGGAATTTAAATACCAACTATTTATCAGGTTTTGTTTTGAGGATGTCTGAAATCTGACCTTTGAGTTGTTTAAACACAGCCCTGTGGCAGCATTACAAGTACTGTTCATGTCAAAAATAATAGCTGAAAACACACAGATACACCGTGCATTATTTATCCAAATTGCTTTAATTTACCGTCATTATGCAAACGGAATCAAACTGGTAATTAACTGAAATGCAAAAGTGATGCAAAAAAAAAAAATCCAAAATTCCCTCTCTTGCATGTTTTATAAGTGACTTAGAAATGTCAGTTTGATATAACGCAAGTCACTGAGCTGGAACACTTTCCAAAGTAGTAGTTCTCGAAGACACGATATTTGTGCCATGTTCAGTTAGGAATAATCTACTGATGTACAGCAAATTGAAAGATAAGTACCCAAACTTTAAATGAACGATACTACTGGAGAGGGAATTAAATCGCTCTTATTGCAAGATGCATTTCATCCAGTGAAAGTGTTTATAGGAATGCGCAAAAGAACAACTGTATGCAACAAGACAGTTAAGCAACACCAATGGTTCAAAGAAGTCAGATGTATTGTGTGGGTGAAATACAACCAAACTCTTTTGTAAAACCGGATAAAAACAACAATTTGATAGCAAAATATAACATTTCTCTTGTATGTTGGAACCACACAGATAGAATAAGTATAGCATACTGTTCAAAAGTTAAAGTAGACATCATATAACCACAACACCAGGGTTCAAGGACCTCCTTTGAATATCTTACCATCGTTCCAGTCTATATTTAAACTGATAAACAGGCAGTGAAGGCAAACATTTGAATATTAAAATCAACGCCAAAGTCCTTACCTGTGGCAGGGCGGAGGTGAGCTGGCGCTGCAGAGAGTCCCGGTCGTAGATGACGTCCTGGAGGTGCGACTGGGACACGCCGAGGCTCTCCTGGGTCTCCCTCAGCGTGTCCAGCAGCCGGTCCCTCTCGTCCAGCATGTTGACCATCAGCTGCTCAAAGTGGGAGTCCGGGTCCGAGGAGCTGCTCTGAGAGCCGCGCTGGTTCAGAGCCGTGTCCTCGCTGATGGTGGGCATCACCTCGCACATCATCTTGGCGCTGCCGGGGGAAGAGGGAGATCTGAGATTAGACAGGAAATGAACTCAGTGGTCGTCAGGCGGTGTATAACCAGGGAAAAGGTGAATTCAATGATGGAAAGTATGTTGGGTTAGACTTATTGCTGATGGCTAATCATCAAATATGGAATACAGTCATTCATATTGAATACAAATCAAATACTATATTCATGTATTTTTTCTTTTAATGTTTGTTTTATTATCTTTGCTTTTTAATGAATGTTTTTAAATGCCATGTTTTTTCTTTTTTGTAAAGCACTTTGAATTACCTGGTGTTGAAAGGTGCTATATAAATAAACTTGCCTTGCCTTACACATTTAACCTAGATGGAATTTCCCTTCCTCGAGATTATATATTCAGGTATATCTTGATAATATTTGTTATGTTCCATATATCAATCATTACAAACTGTGTGAGGCTTGTATTGTAAAGGTAACTTATTGCAACACTATTTAGCCTCTATGGTTAACATTATTATTTTATGAATCTAACATGTTTCAATATCAATATTTATTTTTATGTTGGATTTTTTTATATTTTAATCGTTTAACCTTTATTAGAATTATGGCATTTTTATTATTATTATCTTTTTATTTGTATTTCTGTTGTGCCTATATGTTCACTTTGTTTTATGGGATTGTATATTGTTGCATCGATTCAGTTGTCTTGTGTCTTATCTGTCGGAGAGAAATCATTATTTATCTTATTGTATGTGTATTATCATACATTATACCTCCTTGTGTCTATTAACCTGATAAAATGTTATATTTTGCTGCATGTACCTGTAAAGCTCTTAACAAGTAATCTGAGGGGAATTTGTTTACTTGTGATGTGTCATTTTGTAAAGCACTTTGAGCGCCATGTGTTGTATGAAAAGTGCTATAAAGCTTTATTATTATTGTTATTATTATTATTATTATAACATGAATCTAAAGTTTTCAACTTACCTAATTACTCAATAACATAAATGACATTTGGAGTGTCCACAGGAAACCATTTACTGGTGGTGTTTCATTCACAACAACTGATGTAGAGTTTATTTAAACTTCCAAAGACGATACAAGCCAACTTCTGTGTTCATGAGTGTCTACCATCCACTGTTTCTGTTAAGATGACTGGTGAGGATGTGACTGTGCCCGACATAGTTGGAGCTCGACTCAGCGTCACCTCCAGCTGTCTTGAGAGGCTGGGGGCTCTGCCCTAGATTCCGCGCTTGCTGTTTGATGATCCAGCCCAGATCTAGTTGCTTAACACACTATGCTATAGTGGATATCTAAAAACCATGTTCCAGCTTCCCTGAGGGACTTCAGAAAGCCTCCGGAGTCACCTTAACTGGTGCGATAGTTCATGGGTAAAAAACAGATATGCATCATCACACATCAGAGTCATGCAGCCTAATAAGCTCAGCCACAAATAACCAAGCGTTAAAGATTTACAGAGGTGAGTAATACACTTCAGATAGTCTGCTTTCTTTTATATCAGTTAAATTACTGTGTGCGTTGAGTGGAAACAGATCCTCACACATGCCTCCATCAAAAAAGAAAAAAAGCCAACATGTTTCACAACAATAGCACAAAGATAGTGTAATCCTCTCTCGTGGTTGGTTCAGTTCTGATTGCAGCTAAACATATTCTGACAATGTTCCTTTTTCAGTCTTCCACAAATACATTTAAAGGCATCAGTCTGGTGCTCGGTATATCATCCACAACCTAACAATACCCTTTTGCTTACAGGTTAAGTACTTCTATTCATTCTGTACAGTAGACCATGGGGCCTCAGTGTGTTAACCCAGGTCAGTTTACTCAGCGAGCCTTCAGTCTCCCATTGCCCAGCCTCGGTCCCCTCTGGGTGGGTTAAAATGGCAGGATTGTATCTCAGCATGTTCTGGCAGTAGGATGGTGTCTCCCAACTTTTCTCCAGGCAGCCAGCCAGACTGTCACCAGTTCAACATTCAGCCACCATCCGCTGCCGTTTAGACCTGAGAGACGGAGCCTGTGTGCTGCCTGGCTGGACTCTCTGCGCATGCCAGCCATTTGTTTGGAGAGCAGGCCAGCCGGCGGACAGACCGGGACATCGGTGGTGCATTTTAAGTAGACGGTAGTGATTTATTCCTGACTCTGGATCAATGCGTGTTAGTTGATCGCAGGGAGGAAGGTGCTGGTTGCATAAAAATCCATACGACTACGGCGTCTGGCAGTTCATATTAAAACAGACTTCAGGCAAAAAGTCTTGTTGCTCATCGTTATTGCTTGTGTTGCTTGTGGCAACTGGATAAAATACAAATCTGATAATGTTCTACAAAGAAAAATGTCTATGTGAAGTTGTTTTCTTAGTAGATTTGTGCTATTCCAACTTTCCAGCAAGCTAACTCTGGATAGGGATTTCCAATGATGAATGGATAACTTTATTGACACCAGTGTTTCCCCTACCATTGTCTTGGAGGGGCGCTGCGCCCTGCCAACGGCGCCCCCCCTGAAATTCAAGGTGTTTAAAAAAAAAATATATTATTATTATTATTATTGGGTTTTTTTTATATATATATATATATAGCACCAAATTGCAACTAATCTATATCTACTGTCACTTTTCACATTGAACATGTGCTCTTTTGTTAAATAAACTAAACACTTTCATTTGAAGTTTAGTGTTTTTGACCCTAAGAAACACTGATGCATTAACCAATAACAATAATCCACATCTCCTCTCTCTGCTCCAGAGGATTTAAAAATATATATATCTCCCCCCCCCCCCACCCACCTGCTCAGGCAGCACCCCCCCAAAGCAGTAAACCTAGGAGAAACACTGGACACTGTACATTGCATTTAGCAGACGCTTTTATCCAAAGCGACTTACAATAAGATATCTCTGAAAGTTAAGCAAAATGCAGAATGGAGTCTCTTTTTCCCATTCTGAGGGTTTAACACCCAAATCAGACCTTTACCTGGAGCCAATCAAAGATCACAACTTCCCAGTCATCCAACATGTCGCTGCTCTCCACAATGATCCAACAAAATAGGCCCTAAAATGCCACGAAACATTTGTGTTGTTTAATGGCGTTTTATTTCTCCTTTAAGCCATGCGGAAAGCAAAGTCTATTGAGGATGTTTTTCTGCTTCATGGCACATACAATCCCCTTTTGTCCTGTTCCTGCACCTTATGCTTTGATCTCACCGTGACTGCCCCTTAAATCATTTCTACTGTCTATGAAAAATCAATAGACACGGAGGGAAATTGCTCTGACTTTTGTCTGCGCCCTGAGACGTATTAGGCAGCCTTGCTGGAAACCAAAAGCAAACCATATCACTCAGTTAAACATACATCCACTTAATTGTGTCTGTCAAACCGTCATCAGGCCTGTCTCTTTTGTTAAAGTGGCTAGTCAGATAAAGGACTTTGTCTGCAAAGCCTTGAAGCCAAATGCAGTGACCCACTGCTTTCCCTGAAATGTCCTCTTTGATAGAGAAAATCTGCTCCTCTGCTGCTCGAAATTCATTAGTTCATTAGTGAAGCAGGCAGGCTGAAGTGATGGCAGGTAAGAGCTAGTGGGATCCTCTTGGACAGATAAACACTAATAACCCACAGTGGGCACAGTGTGAACAATGTGTGGTCTGAGAGCTCTATTTGCACGCTGGGATACAGATGTTGTCTAGATTGGGCTCGCTAGCAGTGACAATACTACTTCCTCACAACTGGACATCCAATTTGACCCTCATTATGAAAGCTATTTGGCCTACAGATATTCATAGAGCCTGAAACAGGGCGAATACTGATGTGGTGTCATCCATGTGCTTATTTCCTCTAGAATGCAACATCATGGCACATTACGATAATGTACAGCAAGAAATCTGGCCATAAATTCCACTGACATGTCAGACCTTGGTTTAGCATAAATGCATGTCTAATAATGATATGTAAAATGGTATCTGTCAGAGGGATACTTGCAGGAAAAGAGCTATTCGTAGTAACTGTTGTATAAACAAGATGAAGCTTAAGTGATTTTAGCGCGGCTGGTTAAAGATGTTAAATGCACGTCTAAAATGATGCAGAACTCACGAGAGAGAGAGAGAGAGAGAGAGAGAGAGAGAGAGAGAGAGAGAGAGAGAGAGAGAGAGAGAGAGAGAGAGAGAGAGAGAGAGGCTTCAATAAGAAATTCACACAAAAAAACAGGCAGGGATCATTGGGATGTTCTCTCCATGCCATATGCTAATCAATGAATTATTCAGGGGGGTAGGAGGGAGGTTTTTCTTCCCAATCAGTGCAGAGTCCTTTTATTCTGCCAAGCAACCTCTTTCAAGCTCTAACACCTGGCTGCAGACTGAAGTCTATAGCTGGCATCAGGAATTTGTGGGGCAAACTTTGAAACCTACAAAACGGCAGAAATAATGCTTGAGATCAAATCGAAAAAACGATAAAAAATCACAGCAAAACATGAACTAACAATCAAGTCTCTATTTGGGTAAGTTCCAGGACTCTATAGGCCTGAAACACTGACGCCAAAAACCAAAGTGATTTACTGAGTCAGCCCAAAACCAACAAGTACTACATCTTTTTTGGACACCTCAGGATTTACATTCAATGACCTCGCACTGCATGTAGCAAGGAGGAAAGAAAGGGTTTGGAGACCGGGGTGTAAGGGTGTGTCGCAGAGTTCATTGAGTTCATGTCTTGTCACATACCTAAACTAAATGCCTTTTTTCATTAACAATCACAATGTTTTGCGCAACGTCTGCAGAGATATCTTTTAATACAGCTAAATAGACCAAATAAAACTCCAAACTCCTGGGTTGAGAGTTTGACTGAGTGAGCTATCTATATGGGACAGCTGTAAATGACGTAGAACCACTCCATTTTGGGAAGAACACATCAGCAAACTGGGGCTAATTTCCTGAATGTCTTCAGTTAATCTCATTAATGGCAACCATTGTGTGAGAAGATAAGGAGCAGCTACACAAAACAGCAGCATGTTGCTGAGCAATATATGGCCAAGTGAGGCAAATTCAGCACTATTCACCACCTGGGAAACATCAAGCGGCGTGTAGAGGAGCGAGCGTGTGCCGAACAAGCGGACGACTTAACACGACACTCTGTGGCTTTGGAGATAAGCAGCACTGCTGAATGCTGATTTTGGAGATACTAAAAATAAAACCAGCGTCATTTAATAGTGTGTTTAAAGCTTTGTCATCACCAAGCAACTCAGATACTCATTTAGCAAGGAGATGCTCATTTAAAAAAACAAATTAGGCCCACAAATGCCTATTAAGAAACCAATCTCTTATGAAATACGAGGTCAACTTTTCAAACATTTGTAACACCCTATTAGGTTCAGCTCATCGCTACATGAGACCCAATTGTTTTGATGATAATGCACATCACCGACATCAGCACCACAAGCACAAGGCTGATTACGCATGTCGCTTTGCGGCCGTCGGGGGAGCTGACTAATGGGAAATTCCACTTTTAAATAACGTCTGTATTTGATTTCTTGGCATGCTGCTGAGCGCAAGTGCATGTGCAGGCGGCATTGATGAGCACAAGTGGCGTAATGGGTAATCTGTTGCATGCCGCTCCGTCCCGCATTGGCATCCATACCAGGCCGACAGGTGGGGAAAGTTTGACACCGCGTTTTAGTGAATGGGAAGGACCAGATTGCGTTGTACACTCATAGTGTGGAGAAATCCCATTCATATGGCTCCATGCACCAGAGAGACTTCTGACAACCGAGAGAAAGCCTGCCAAGAAAACAACAACTCAAGTCTATCCCATTTAATCACAGCCACAGGAACATACAACAAATCTCAGGCGGGAGTCTACCGAGTGGTTGGAGCAAACCATTAGCTCATCTCCAACCCTGCGCCCAGCTGATGTGTGACCTGTGCGGTGATGCAACAGCCATGCATTATAAGAACTTATACTAATGGATGTTTGATCGGTTATTGCAACACAGTGCAAGGCTCTCTGATACTGGAGGAGTAATACAACTGGGTATGTTTAGAACATTTTTGCATTAAGCCGTGATAGCAACAATGTCATGTGACTGGTTTGAGGCATGGCAGTAACATTTAGATTTTGTGTATGTTGTCATGACATTTGGGGCATTTTAGCGGCAAAAGGTACATTTTCAGTTTGAGTTTAGGTAGGTTAGCATAGGGTAGAGGGTTATATGAAATGTATTGGACGAGATAAGAAGGCACCGCAGCAATACTAAGCACAAGTCGCAATAAGAACATCAATCATCTGAATATAAAAGAAGACAAAATGAGAGTTAAATACAAGCCAAGATGGATTTTAGATAAATACTACAATACATGGCCCGACATGACTCAAATACTTATTCCTACAAAAAATGTACTTTATAAAGCTTTAAAGCTGTGCGGATCAATGTCAGTAATAACTCAAATAACCAATTAGTCGTAGAAGAAAATAATAATCGCCCACTATTTGAAAATGTATTCATTTAAAATTGGTAGAAATTGCCTGCTTTCTCTGTTTTATATCATATTACATTGAACACCTTTAAGTTTTGACTGATAGAACGAGACATTTAAAAAGGCATCACCTTACACTTTAAGAAACGGGAATTGACATTTTTCACTGTTTTTTGACATTTTATCAAGAGGCAGATTAACCTAGAATATCTAGAAATCTTCCCCGAAAAATTAATGTTTATTCTGCTGTGACTGACACCCTTGTGTGAACACTGACACACTGAGAAGTGAATGAGAGGGGATGAAGAGGGTGGCACGCCTGGGTGTAAAGTTACAGTCAGCCCGGTGCCATTAGGGAGGCGGGAGAGGAGGCTGTGCATCAGGTGTGTGGGTGTGTGTGTGTGTGTGTGTGTGTGTGTGTGTGTGTGTGTGTGTGTGTGTGTGTGTGTGTGTGTGTGTGTGTGTGTGTGTGTGTGTGTGTGTGTGTGTGTGTGTGTGTGTGTGTGTGTGTGTGTGTGTGTGTGTGTGTGTGTGTGTCCGTTTGTCTGAGTGAGCTTTAGCTCTACCTGTGTGTGAGCATCTGTCAGAGGGAGTGAGGGAGGCTCTGTGTGTCTTCTGATGTGTGTTTCACTGGCTGTTTGTTCAACTGGAAATAAGTCTGCATGCACATGCGAGCATCAAAGGACAGATGTAGCCTTTAACATCACCCACAATCCCCTGCAGCAAGGTCATGCAAACCATCAATCGATAGACATTGAATAAGAGCACGGATCGAGGTGGACGGAAAAAAAGAAAGCAATAAAGCCATGGTTGTAACGGATTTGAATGGTGTTGCTTGCCACCACCGCCAGCATCACCTTTCTCATTATGGAGGTTTCTTTTTTGGTCAAATCATCCCCATTAAAGCTGCCCTCAAATCATAATGTTATAGACATAAAAGATGCTGCCACAGGTAGCCACCTCTCTGCAGGACAGGTGGTACAAGCTTTGTCTGCACACCAGACATATTAGGCAGTGAGGTGCATGACGGGAAAGTCTCACTTCTTTCATGCAAAACCGTCAAATTAAGCATCCCCGCTCTCTGCATCATGCATATGAGTCACACTTGTGCCACAACTTCAGCAGGATGCAGGCTGAAGCATGCACATATTGGTTTTTTTCCTTTAAATGTCTTACGGTTGCAAAATGTGAATAATAATTTGCCAGATCATAGCATGCTCACAGCTTTTTGCCGGGGGGGGGTATTAACCTTATAGCTAAAATGAGCAGCGCATGCACGTGAGTGCCTTCTCATTCATTCATTCATTCATTCATTTATTCATTCATTGGGTAAACGTGTGTGTGAATGGGGTTGGTAGATGTGCATGGGTGACAGAGAGGCTGTTCTCCCGGCTTGCATGTCTATAATAACCGGTAATAATATTGTTTAAAAGGAGGGGCAGCTGTCCCTCCTATGACAGCTCCTCTTTTTACTGTTATTAACCACACACACACACACACACACACACACACACACACACACACACACACACACACACACACACATACACACACACACACACACACACACACACACACACACACACACACAAACACACAGGAGGCCTGACTGCGGCTGATCACGTCTGTACACCACTGTAACATCTCCTCCTCTGAAATAATAATTTGGGAGAATCCTTGGCTATTGTCTCAAGTGCATTACATCATGGCAGTCTCTCAGTCTGCATCCCCCCCCCCCC